TTAGAAAATCTATTTGCAAAAAAGTATAACCACACCAAAAATAACATGAGTATTTAGATGCATTCTAGTCCTTAAGACTTCTTTGAAGACTAACTTTTAAAGTAAGTTGGTGCCCTAGTAGATATGCATGATTCCCAACCCTGTTCCCTATTTCTTTTATTCAAAATTTCTGATAAAAAACTTACTAATTGGCTAAGTTCTTGTGATCATTTTAACCATTGCTCCACAAAGCCGAACTTCTCTGAACAAAAGAAGAAAATATTTTGTGAATCCTTACTTTTAAATATATTTTTGTAAAGCATTTTAATAAGATCTGTTTGGTCCTTATAACTGAACTTTAGACTACTTTTTTGTTTCTAGTTCAGGTCATTTCACCAAGTCCATTGTAGCCAAACATTGTGAGCTTGTTGGAGGATGAGATTAGCTCCTTGTGTTCAGACCGTATATCACATACTGTACGTACAATGTAATATGTGGGGGAATGGCAGACTCTAACATGTTTAGTCCAGCAGAAATACAAGAGAAAGGTAATGTCATTGGGTGTATAGGTTTACCAGTATCTCTTTGATTGCTTCTGCTGGCTGTGATAGAGCAGCTCCCTCTTCAAGTTGGACTCACACGGCAGCAGACAGATCACTAATGAGAAACGCCACGATCATTTAGAATTTTCTGACAAATATACTAGTAGGTGCAATGGTGGAAAGGAGCAAAGTCTAAAAGTAAAATACTGTACTTTTTATGTGTAGAGTTAAAGGTGCTGAGAGACATTGCGTTTTTGTGCTGTACTGAGCTGACAGTGAGAGCCGTCAGTACAGCTCAGGGATGTGTTTTCTCTATAACAGACCTGGGCATTGTTCACCTCCCAGGCCACATATAGTCCTTTGGTTGACTCTGACTGGCCCTTTTAAGCTCATTTGGAATCTGCAATATTTTCTGTTTCTCATATGACCACATGGAAAAAATAATTGCCCACCCCTGCTCTGTCAGGTTTAATTTTTTTTTATTTGTGAAAAAGCACAATAGTACAATAAATAAGAATGCACAATGTAAGTGTACATAAAAGAAGGCATTTAGATCAGGTTGGTGTAATTTATTTGTCATTTGCAATTAAAAAAACGCATTGGAAAAACATACAATAGTCAACCATTACAGCCCACATGTGACACTGTGAAATAAACAAGCAAAAGATTAAGGAGCTAAAATATTAAAGTGCTACATCAAAGTTCAAAGTGCATTGTTCAGGCTTATAACAGTTTGTGGGAAGAAGCTATTACTATGGCGAGATTAGAAACAAGCAGATATGAAGAAAAAAAATAATAAATCATCACTATTGCGTCCATCCCTTTGTTACTTTGCTTGTGGTGGGTCTGTCACTTGCTTGTGATCATGGAGATTTGCCAGGAATGTGCCACAGTATAGCATGAAACATATCTCATTGGAAGTGAAGTTATCGGTCAGATCTGTGGAGAGCCAGCATGATTCATCAGCCAGTTTCACTTTGTGGAAACCATCTGACCTCGCAACGTTAGAATTCGTTCACTCGACGGTAGGCATGAACTTTTTTTTATTTAACCAATCACTGCTATTTGGTCGTGACGTATGTAATGCGCCGCTAACGGGGCTAACTGGTATATTAAGCTTTTCCCAAATCCTGTAGGAAGAAGGGCAATAATGTCTTTCCCCTTGATAAAATTCACCAAACATTCTCTTTGTTCCGGCTTTAAATCCTCAATCTCAGGAATCGTAGCAACACAGAAAGTATAGCTCTTTGCTGATTGGCTCTTGCCCGAACTTGCACTTCTGGGGTTCTGGCAAACTGTTAAGTGTATTGCCATTCCTGACCTAGTCGCTGGTGAGAAATTAAATTGAGCGGAGGCACTAAGTGGCGCTGGCCTGGCTAGTGTAGAGCACCCTCACTTTGCATTTTTAAGGCAATCAAAACACCTGCAATTGAAAAAGTGTATGATAAACAAGTTTACTGTAGAAGATTCCAGGTAAAGCAATAACATCTCCATAGAGACAAGCAGGTAGCGGACCCTCCACCTGCAAAGTAACACAGTGCTCCTTTCATCAGTTCAAATGCAATTCCTGTTTAGAAAAAAAGCCTGGTTCTATCCAATTAAAATCCACATTAACGTTGCTTGGAGACTGATGTGGATGTCTGGTAATCACCTCATTGATCTCCTCTCAAACCAGGACCCTATCTCATCCTGATGCGCAGCAGGTAGAGCCCGGTCCTTTGGCAGTCCGCACACAGACTCTGGATAAAGGTCATCTGAGTCCATTGTCAACCTGAGGGTCTGAGGGCTTCAGGGTAAACACTACAGCCGAGATCTACAGCACATCTTAAGGACTGCAATTACACTGGGCTACAGCCTCTGCATCCTCAACTACCAACTTATTTCAACTGCGCCGAGCTCCAGAGCAAGACTATAGGTCCCAAAAGCATTCGCCCACCTTAATTTATGGTAATCTTATAGTCTACAATTGTTCTATTATGTTTACTTAAATAAGCAACCATATATATTCTAATAGCTCTCCTCTGTGTTTCCAGTGGAGGGTTTGTCAAATGCTTTTTTTTTCATGGTGATGTTATTGCTTTGTCTGGAATGTTTCACAGTATGGCATTAAACCTTTCTAGCTTCATGGAAACCAAACTAGACCAATGTTATAAGGTGTGGAGAGGTGACCCTACTCGCAGTCAGAATGCCTGTTTTTCAAGGTATTTTTGAGCTATAAAACCACCTGTAATTGAATAAATGTAAATGAATGTTATACTGTGGAACATTCAAAGTAGAGCAATGACATATCCATAGAAACAAGAAGGTGAGGAACCCCCAACACAAAAGTTACACAGTGCACCTTTAACTGTTTTCAACATTTTTGGTTTCTGCAGAAGATCACCCATTAAAATAATACCAAATTACATTTTTTAGGAAAAAATGTCCTATATATTATAGAAAATATTGTTCATGTGTTGTGTCTGGCTATTTAAGGTTGGTAATTGTGATTGTTTTGCCTTCTCTTTTTGGATCAGAACAATCCAAAATTGAGTCTCTTTACTAAAACTGCTCATTTTTCCAAGGCACGTCAGTCTGTCAAAAACTCAAGGCACGCTACTCTTCTCCAGCACACTGGTCCAGTGCTGTAGGTAATACTGTCAATTTTACATCCTGCTTTATCTATGCAGGTAATATCAGGCATGACAGGGAAGATGTGTAACTGAATGGCAGAATGTGTTGGTTAGGGAATATATGTGTATTATTGAACTGCAAATACTCATTCTCTGTTTCTTTTAAAGGTCTACAAATAGAGATGATTTTCCTGAAGTTAGAACCTGGTCCAAGCTTCTTTGCCCTCGTGCATTATGCAATGGTATAGAGTCCTGCTTAATGAATAAATTACATTTATTGTTCATATTTTTATCATTGTTATGTTTTATTGCAGTGTTCAATTCTTATTTGGTTTTACTAGTTTTAAATTTCTTAATAACGACCAGTGGAGATGAGAATCTTTTCATGAATCTTTGTGCAGCACTTCAGTTGTATGTGTATAAAATATGTCAGTGGAGTGGGTTGTATTTGTGGAGCATGTTAGAAAAACATATTTTATTTTTCAGCTCCATGTCTTGTGCACCTTGGTTGTTGGTTTCTTTATAAATTATTGAGTTTAGAGATGAGCAGCTATTCCAGCTTGGCTAAAGAAGCGTCAACAAACTCACGCCTGAAACATTAAATTAATCATTTTGTAAGAAATTGGAGAGTTCATGGACTGGAACCAAAAAAATGTTTGAGCTAGAAATAGATGACATGATTACGAATATACATTTGTATAATTCTTTTTACTATGTAATTTTACAACATTAATTATATTTGACCTTCCACCTGCTTGTTTCCATAGAGATAAACAACTTGAATGCTATAGGCCTACAGTGGTCTATTATTAGACTATTTTTAGATATAATGTTGTTTCTTTATCACAAACATACCTGGAGTTGTATTTGTTTCATTCACACATGTTAAACACACAAACTCTGCATATTTATTACTTTTCTCAAACTAAAAACACTCCTGGTCCCTGTTAACATGAAAATGACCACTTCATGACATCACAAGGTGGAAGACAGTATTTAGATCTTTGTAGACAGATTAAAATCCAAAGTTACTCAAACATGTGTGAATGAAACAAAACACAACTCCAGGTATGTTTTTGAGGTGCTAACAGCACTCTAACATGGATTAAAGCTCAGAAGCAAAACTCTGAATTAAACCTCCCGAATGACAAAAAGAGCCACACTGTTGCATATCTATGCCATACCCAGGGACATTTGCTGATCCTTTCTCGTGTCGTATTTGGTGCTTTCCACATTGGGCTGAGTGCTACTTCAGCACAGCAAGCTCAGAGTGGTCCTGACTGGTGTGGGGCTGTTCTCTCTGTAGAGTTTATGCATATTCATCATGACACAGACAGAAACTGACAAGAGACAAGAGACCGGGACTTAACCTCTCTCAGTTCTGTTCTGCCTCCAACAAAGAATCTGCCTGGGCCCATAACAGTGTCACATGTTGGAAAAAATGTTGGAAAGTCTTAAAGATGTGATTGGAGGGATTCTGTTCAGAGTGCACACTGTAAACATTAAAGGTCCTACATTACACAAACTTTACTCTTGTGAGCTTTAAACCGTGTTAGAATGTTGTTACCTCCTCAAAATATACCTGGAGTTGTGTTTCTTTCATTCACACGTTTGAGAAATCCTTTATTATTAGTCTGCATACCTCTCAAATGCTCTGTTCCACCCTGTTCCACAACATAAAAAATGGATCAGAAAATTGCAAACTGGTTCTGACAAACTGATAAACAAATATAACAATCCCATGCATTTCAGACTATTTATATAATAGAAGATTTTTATATTAAAAGACAAGATTATATTGTTTTTTGCAGGGGACATTCTATTTTCTAATGCTATTAATTAATTTCACCAACTCAAATTGTGATCTTGATTCGAGTGCTATGAATTGTGCACCCCTAATCTGTGCTGCCTTTTTGTAACATTAACAAGATGGAATATTATTGTTATTATTCATCTTTATTCTGGACACAGAAGGCACATATGGTCCATAGTTAAAAAATACACAATACAGATATATATTGCATATGAAAAAGAAACAAACCTTATTAAATTAAACACATAATCCTTTACATTAATAATACATATGCTGTACACAAATATTTATTGTACATTAGTAAAACAAACTGTCATACAAAATATATTGGACTCTTGGTTTATTGTACAATGTTAAAGCAACAATTTAATGTCAACAGTTTCTCTATAAAAAAAAAAAAATCAGTGCCACTGTTCAAGTTCACGGAGACACTGCCCCCTAGCGGCTGAATCCATAACCGCTGCAGCGACATACAATCAAAAGGTCCACCAGTATCCACAGCTCCTTTATACAATAGTCACGTGTCTGTGCTTTTTCTGGAAGCCCAGTTCAAGGTTGTTGAAGGCAGCATTGTAGCCATTTCCTGCGAGGTTGCTTTCTGACGGAGATGGCTGTAAAGGAAATAAAGTAAAAAATAACTAAATCCCTCTGTGTAGCGTCTGCACATTTTAGTAACACTGACTAAAAACTATATTTTTAACAGCTTTAATGCTTTAGTCTTAAAAATGAACAAAGACCTAATTCTTAATGAACCCATAGTTTATTAAAGGCTATATTACGCTATTTTATGATCTGTGTTATGTTTCCTCATCACAAACATACCTGGGGTTGTGTTTTGTTTCATTCACACATATTTAGCATACAAACCCTGCATATTAAGGCTGAGTTCTTCTCTCAAACAGACAACATTCTGTTCCACCTTGTGATGTCATGTGGCAATACAGGAAGTACTCCTTTGTGTTTTTAAACTGCATACACCTTCATTATAATGACTTTGATCATTTCAGCTCTGGAATTGCCCATCTCTACTGAATAAAAGGTAAAAAGTTGCTGTTAACTTGAGAACTACAGCTTCATGACATCACAAGGTGAAACTGAACATTTTGAGCTTTGGAGATGTAGGAGAGAACAATGTTATAACGTACTTTAAAGCTCACAAGAGTCAATTTTGTGTAATACAGGACCTTTAAAGTCTAATTAATAGTGAGAATTTGTCAGCATCTTATACCTAAAAGAAAATGTTGTGTGCTCATATTATTTGTGTTCTACAGCATTTTTTTTAATTTATTCCATAGTCATTCTCACTTCACTTTTACAATAGCACACTTCGTACACTCAAAACTATATGTGGTGAAGAATTGCACAACTGAAAGTTAGATTTATTCTCACACCCAAACACTAGCACAGAGAGTTGACTTGTTAAACACTGGATAAATAATATGGTTATGACATCTCTTAAGCTGTACTGTGAAGTTAACAAACAAAACAAGCCTACCTCATAAAAAGGGTATGCATTATTCTGGAAGATCCCACTGTCACGACTGCTCGGAGGTAAACCTGAGCACAAAGAAGTGTTGTGAAAATCAACTAAAATGTGACAAACCTGAAATATAATGTTTCATAGTCACAGTGGTAGTCATTACTTGTTTGCCCGTCAATAGAGAAAACTGGGTTGACTTGACCTTGTCCTTGTGAGGTCGGCCTGTTGCTTAACTGGCTCTGGGTCCTCTGTCTCCTGCAAATACAAAAAACACACTGTTGTTGACATAAACTTTCAAACAAATTCAAGAAAATCATAACAATAATGCTAGCGCTTACATCATTTCAGCTTGATACGTTGGTTCTGAAAATAAAAGAATGTACAAAAATCATTGGATTATATCATACATTTTACTAGAAGTGTTACAAATACATCTCTTGGTAACACTGTTAATGAACCTAGCCCATTGCTGCTAGTATTAAAAGTTATGGAATTCACTAGTGTTATTTCCAACCAGAAAGTAACATTTTAAATCTAAAAAAAATGTCCAAATTGGTAAAACAATTTTGAATATTTCTGCGAAAATCTTAAATATAATGACCTTATCTGTGTTTTAGTAAAATGAGTAGTCCACCAGTCATAGGTACTTTAACATTTTGGACTATGTTGGAGATGAGGCTCATAGCCAATACACTAAAAACTTCAAATATATGGCCGGTATACTGTATTGTCCAATCGTTATATCAATCATTCAGTTTTAATATATAAAACTTTATAATTACGTTTCTCTTTCCTCCTTCTGTAGCAGAAAATGATCAGAATAATCAACAGAACCAGCAGTGCAAAACTTGAAAAGGAAACCACGACGGCAATGAGCACTGTCCAGTCAGTTGGCTTTGGCACTGTGAGGAAAAAATAAGAATTAAACTAAATTAGACTACATAACAACTAACAACAAACAAACAAAGAAAATATTTATGATTGTAGAAATGTCTTACCAACCACCAGCTGTACCGAACTTGAAATTGGGTTTTGAAGAGTGGGAACAGAAGCCAGACAGGTCACGGTCGTGTTGCGGATGGCTTGAAACTTGAGCACGCTGGTGGTGTTGAAGCTGTCTCCATCAGGGACGTCAGTGGTGTTGACCAGGCTGCTGTTCACCGCGATACCGTTAAGAGTCCAGCTGATGGTCGCCGCGGGAAACCATCCGGAGGTCTCACACTGGAACTCCGCCTGCTCATCCTGTTTCACCGTCTGGGAGCCTCCACGGATACTGACACTGCCGCTCTCTGAGGACACAGGATTGACTTTTTAAATGTGCACTTATAAAAACTACAACTTAAATCACATAGTAAAATGCTCAGTTGTCCACAATTCAGAAATGGTTTTACTGGACTCAATTTAAAGGTGCACTAACTTTATTTTACTTGTTTCTATGTGTACAGACAGCTTTACCTTACATTTATTTAATTACAGGTGGTTTTACTGCTCAAAAATACCAAGAAAAACAGGCATTCTAACTGTGAGCGGGGTCGCCTCACAGATTGGACCTGTTACTTGGTCTGGTTTGGTCTTCACAAAGATACAGTAGAAAGGTTTGATTCACACTGTCAAACATTCCAGACAAAGCAATAACATTTCCATGTAGATAAGTATCTGATGGACCCTCCACCAGAAAAATTACACGATGCACCTTTAACTTTTTCATTATTTTAAAATTACTTTAATTTGGTTCAAGCCACTATTTCTCAAACTGTAGTACTGGTGTATTCCTTCAGCTGTATTTCTCTGCCATCCAATTATTGGCTGAATCTAGTTTTAATTTAATCCATATTTTGTCCTCCTTTGGGCTAGTCTTTGGTTATGACTTGTACAGTAAATGTGCTCTGCTATTTTTGACCAAGTTTAAACCTATAGTCCTGTTTTAGTCCTACATTAGAAGATACACACTGCAAATGTCTCTGATCTGGCTAAGATTTTAAAACGTATATCAGGTTATTCCTCTTGTTTTCAGATTTATTATCTACTTACTAATGCTGATACTGCTTAATTCTAGTCTAGAGGTAGTTTATTTTAAGATATCTTGTCAAGTGAAATTATCTTGCTGCATAAACATATAATTTAACTACTTTTAAGTAATTTTCTGATAGATTTAAGTAGTTATATCTTAAATTCTGGCCAAGCTTTTTTGCAGTGCAGGTGGGACTTGATGTGAAAAGTTGGAGAACATATATTTTACTCTTTGTCTTTATTTTAAATTGAATTGTTGGGACCTTATTGGTGTGAGTAGTGCTCGCTAAACATTTCATATAATCACTTTAACTCCTTTAAACATGGTAACTTTGAATGTCTTTGATGTGTACTGTATGTTAGATCAATATCATGTCACTTTAATATTTGTTCTCCTTTGTTTGTTATTGGAGGGGCTCATTAGCATGTCCTTGTGCATAAGCAATCAATGGCCTCCCCTGGCAGCTCTATTAAATGGATTTATGAGTGGAGTTTGCAGGTTTTGCTTCATGAGAAAGAATGAGAGTGTGATCATGGAGGTCCTAATCAGCAGAAGCCCGAGCACAATCAATACAAGACCACTCTGAATATTTCATTGATGTGGCTACAGGCTATTGTTAAAGGCAAAGATATAAGAATTCAAATATGACCAAGAATGTGAAATTTATGACATAATGCTCTTTTCTAGTACTTAGATATAAAAACTGCATGTAAAGATTTTGTACTTTGTTCACAAACAAATATCTAATAGGCAGCAACTTGTATTTTTATTTTTTTATTTAAGCCAAATATCTTGAATGTAACTTAAAGGTGCACTCTGTAGCTTCTCTGATGGAGGGTTCCCTGTCTGCTTGGCTGCATGGAGATGTTATTGCTGTGATTAAAACATTCCGTCGTATACCACTAAACATTCAGTTGCTTAAAGACTGAAAAACATGCGTTCTCATTGTGAGCTGACACGCCTCTCCGCAGATCTGACCTGTAACTTGGCTTAATGGTGTCACGTACATGGAGAGCGATAGTTCAGGCATATTGGAGTCAAAAAGATTGTGGGTATTCTGCTAATCTTCTATTGTAACACAGTATCACAGGGCTCAAGGGTCAAATTGAAAAATGCTACAAACACACTGGTCCTCTATTGTAGTTACTGTCCCACATAAATATATTCGTGATGGCCATATAGTGCACCGCTTTGACAGAATGAGTTTGAATATGACCTATGGCCATGTACACACTGTATTTAATAGGAGAAAAGTCAACATAAACATTATTGAGAATAAATTAAATGGAAAATAACCAATTAAACTATTACAATACATTTATGTGCTACCAGGCTGACATGTAGGAGTGTGCAAAAATATTAAAGTATTGATATATTGTATTGTTTAATGTGATGATACAGTATCGATATCGAGGGCTGCTGATATATATTACCAAGAGTATTTTTTGGCATATCTTACTAAATTATTTTGTTACAGCGCTACAGTTTTGTTTCTTGTTTAGAGGAAGGAAACTCGTTTACGTGACATATTTCACATATTCACTGTTTTGATGATTAAAATCAGTGTTTTATATCCACCTTGCACAAGAAGTGGTTTAACAAACACTTTTAGTATCACAGTCATTATTTAGCTTTTATTTTGTATTGCACTGTATCGAATCAATATGAAATATATCATACTGAATCCGAAGTGTACTGTATCAAGATATGTATCGTATCATGGCCTGTGTATCATATGTACATATGTATCGTATAGGCAACTTCTTGATATAATGATGCCCCGCCCTAGTTACAGGTCAAATCTGTGGAGGGGCAAAGCTGCTCACCTCAGAAATACACGTTTTGGAGCAATTAAAACTCCTGTAATTAAACTGATGATTGATCAACGCAATACCATAATGTGGAACATTTCTGGCTTTTCATGCATGTCCTTATGTTTTTATGGGTGTCCTTGTTTTCAAATTGTTTATTTTATTTTATTATTATTCTTCATCATTTTAAGTTGCACCATATCGCTGAAGGAAGTTATAGTTTCACTGATAATGGAAATAAAACTTTATGTGATCTGATTCTAAGCAATAACATTAGAGTTGGGACAAGGTACAATTTCCACAAGATGAGACAAGATACAAGGCAAGATTTTGACATGATTTGTAATAAAGACATTGTGCAGTAGTTCATTATTTTGGCCTAAGAACAGTTTTTTTTTTTTATTTAATATTTCTGTTGTCACTATAGCACTATGTTTTTGAACTAGAGCTTCTTAACTAACCCTAACTGTGTCATAACTATCTCATAGCACTTAACTATTTTTTGTCCAATATAAATGGAAAAAAATGGAAAAAATAAAAATAATAATAATAATCATGACATAATTTTTCTCTTGTGTGCGCAATTTTGTGAGATTTTGCACTACGAGATCTTGTCCCATCCCTGCATAACATCTCCATAGAGAGCGTCCATCAGAAAAGTTACAGAGCCCACCTGAGGCCCATCTGAACACAGTTGGAGCTTTACCTTGGACGATCAGCTCCGACGTCTTGTATCCATAATCTCCCTGTACAGTGCACTTGACTGTCCCTGAGTCCTGCCGTGTGAGGTTCTGTATGGTGAACTGCACACAACTGCTCCCACTTCCACAGAGCCGAGCAGAGTAGCGAGGAGATGAGGTCGTAGCGTTGCCTGTAGACATCATCGTGAGCACCAGATACTTCCCCAACTCCCAGGTCATGAAGGGCCATGACCCCTGCACTGTGGCGTTGAACTGGGCCTCAGAGCCTTGGAGCCTGGTCACATTTGCAGGCTCCAGCTGGAACTGATTCTGGGCAGCTAGAGCACAAAACACATGAGGATAAATACAAAATGAATCCATTCTGATAACAATTATAATGCATTAGTCTTATATAGCACTTTTACAGACTCTCAGAGTCGCTTGCACTGAAAGACATGCTTCACTACTGTGGGCGGGCTTGCATTTCCACAAACTTGACTCTTTATTTGGCCTAGAGAAGAGCTGCTTGTCTCCATGTGGCAATAATATTCTACAGAGTATCTATCTTCATGGAGAACTGTGGTTTTAAGCTTTTTTTCATAGAATCATGCAGGTGACGTGCCCCGGAAAGCTTTAAATATTTTAAAAACATGCCCTCCTTATCATTTTGACATTGTTGAAGTAGCTGAAGTGCGTAAATAATAAATAAATATTTCACTGATAACAACTATAATTTTGATTTATTCGCAGATACATTTTACATGAGCATTTGTTTAAGTTTGCATTTTGTTTCGGGTTGCAAAAACAGAAACAAAAGAGCTTTTATGTGTACTCATTATATACTAACACCATCCCAAAGTCTGATAATTTTTGTATTGTTTTAACTCAGTAGTAGACAATTTTACTCTAGTTACATTTTGACTGAGTATAGTTTGAGCGTGTTTCAGTATGTCACAATGATCAGAGAGGTTTCTTAGTAATGCAAAGCACTACAGAGTTAAGATGTTTGTTCATGAAAAGCACAGCACAAAGGCTCTGAAACTCAAACAAACTTAACAATACATGATGTCTAGTTCTCCAAATGTAAGAGTTGAAACAGAGGTAAAAATGTTTTAACAAGATATATTTCATTTAGGAATAATCTGTTGTGAATGAATGTTGCTGTTAGAAGACACTGTTGACTCTACAATGGCTGATTTTACTTTTCCATAAATGCTGGCCACGATTTCAAGATTGTGAGGATTTCAGATACTCACATATGTTTTTTAAGCATAAGCGTAGTGAATAACATCTTACCTCCAGTTGTACACAGCAGTAAACAGGGACTAAGTAGATACGGCCAGGTTTTCCAGAAAACAATCATATTTGTGTACATATTCTATAAGAACAAAAAGTTTCATATTAAAGGTCATAAATTACACAAAATGCATTCTTGTGAGCTTTAAATCTTCCTGTAATGCTGTTTAAAAGCACACCCAAAGTTGCGTTTTGTTTCAATCACACATGTTTAAGTATAAAAAAGTTAAAAGTAAAAAAAGGTAAAATGTAATATGAGCCCTTTAAATCTAAATATTACATTCAATATGTAATTTATACAATATTACTTAAAAAGTATATGTAAAGAGCCAAACCAATTTATTAAAGTTTTTAAAGCTTTCAATTTAATGGTATTTCGGTTTTATTGCCGGTCATTTTCCCATTCTGATTAGTATGAAAACATCAATTTCAACACTGACTAACTTTTAAATAGCGTATTATTATTGATTAGTTGAACTTACGGGGTCGGTAGTGTGGCTGGGACCTTCATTTCCTGAATTGGCAGGTGAGCTGAGCACTGCACCTGTGTGAAACTCTGAAAGAGCAAGGTTCAAGTCCAGCCATTCAAACAGCTCTTATCTCCTATTGTGCTGTCAGCCTGTAATAATGGACTCAGTGCGACCGCAGCCAGTCTCTGGGCGTGAGGAGGATGACGTTTCTGCTGCCGGTGAGCTCACATCTGATATTTGACATTAAAATTAAATGATAGAGAGGCATTACAAACTTCATAATAGGCAGGTCATTAGCATTTACACTGTACACTTTTACCCCTCTGAATACGCACTCTGAATATTAGTAACACTATGATGAGACTGTTATGTTAAAAATAAATAAATAAATGTATTAATTAATAAATAAATGAATAAATAAATACAGAGAACCACTTCAATATTCTTGTGTGAACCAGGAGACAAAAACAATAACAGAAATTGTGAAGAAAAAAAAAGGAAATGCCTGGTGGAGAGTATTTCATCATAGAAAGACACACAGATGATAAAGCCAACTATTCTTTAAAATGACTAATACAGCAGTAGGTACAAAAGGTCAATTATTGTTCAAGTATTGGTACCCAGCCCTAGTGTAAACACAATGAAATTATTTTCTATACCATTGTGGAAAGCAGTTTAAAAACCTACACAAAAGGAGCTGGTGCTGTTTCAAATATAAACCACTAGAGGTCTCTGTATGATCATCTAACAAGGCTTGAAGTTATTCAAATGTGTTTTTTCAATTGACTCAGAAGACATGTATGTATGTAATTTAAATTCAAAATACTTGATAATGAAGACTAGGATACTTGATGCTTAAGGAACATTTAGGCTTATTTTACTTATGGACAGTAAAATAAATCATTACTTAAAGTAGATTCTATATTGGACAGGCAAAATGTATATTGTGCCTAAATCAACTGATACAAATAACATAATTGAAAAACAGATGAGTACTTTTGTTTTGCTTTATTTGTGATCAATAATAACAGATTAATATATTGAATATAGGTTATACAAACCGATGTAAAATGTGAGATATTTTAGAGGGGCATGTGATTCTCATGTTTGATTGGATGCAGTTGAAAAGCTGGACATGTGCTGTCTTCACGCTGCCCTAGGTACAGCACCATGCTTTATGTGGCCATAGAACAAACTGGAATGTCTCCAGACACAGCTGGTATTGTATAGGCAGAAGCAAGCAGACGTCCATGAAAAACAGGAAGTAGATAGTGGGGGAGGGTCCCCTATTCCCAGCATATGGCCGGGTTTTGGAGGCCCCCTCTGGCTATGCCACCACCCCGTCGAAGATCATGAGTCAAAAATCAAACGAAGGCTTATTCCAGGGTCTGCTGCTTGACTTCGCACAGACCTGACCTTCGTATTGTCTCAGCCCATTGTTCAGAGCTACAAATTAGTTCCATTCAATTGGCCCTTTATTTGGAAACACAAGATGGGCCTCAAAACACACATATCTCACGTGCCCTTGGAGCATGCATGAATCCCTTTTGTGTGCTGTGTTTTTGTTGTGTCAGCTGATAGCTAATCAATGGTCAAAGCTGCTAAGGTTTATAGTGTGTGAGCTTATTAGGGCGTGTTACCACTGGGGCGAGTCTGTGTCATAGACTCAAGTGTCAAGGCTCGTCATGGACACACCCCATTCCTCTGACTGAGCAAATACAATCAAATGTTTATTCAGGAAAATCTGCAGTTTGGTTCATAATAATGTAGTTCTTCAGTAAATACCCAGTATTACACTGACATGCAGGGCAAAGCTCACTCTGTCCTTAGTCCTAAAAAATACAATTTCATATGGATGCACAGTTAAGGCCCACACTGTGAACTCTGGTGCTACTGGACCCCTTTCAAATGAACTGCTGTAATCTGGCTTTACCCTCCAGTCCATATGGAAAGGCTGCCATTCGCTGCATGAGAGAAATCCACTTAAGAGTATGTGCGAGGGAGAGTCTTTCCCTGTGTCCCACTGATCCAATGTAGACTGCACTAGTGGAACTGGCTTTAGGCACTAACTCAACACACAACACAGCTGCCTTCACCTGCTCCTGCTTGATAAGACTTAAACAACAGCTCCTGGCATGTGGCAAACGTGACGCAAGATTGAACAAGTTGCTCTGTGTCAAAGAGGCTTTGAAATAGGTCACCTTTACCTGCAGTCTGTCACTGTGTGCAGGATTATGCCATAGCTGGTCTGCATAGAAACTACTGCTCCAGTTACAAGAACATAAGATGAATAAATCAACTGAGGTTCATCATAGTCGCCTTCTCCACTGTAGCATTGCTGCCACCTCTGGCTCAAGCAGGAAAACAGGAGAGAGTGAAAAGGCGCGAAGAGCCGGCTACAGGCAGCAGCTGTGATGGAAGGGCTCCTCCACTCCATACAACAACAGCATTGTTATCTGAGACCTACCTAATGTCCTCCCCTCCCCCTCCACTACTGCCCTCCTCATAGACTACAGTACCACTCTACAGTAAAGTGGACTCTCCAGTACACAACAGCCAACTTATTCCACTGCAAAACAAGAGATACAGTTCAGTTCTTACATGTTATTACAAGTGCATAGGCTGCAGCATAGTCATGTGAGTATTTGGCTAGAGTTCGAGTACAATAAAGAAAAACTTTCATAGGTTACCAATTGGGTTGTATCAATAATCATTAACCAAGAATAAAGGTAACCTACATAATCTGCCTGCCCCAAACCTATAAATATCTTAAATTTTTATCGCCTTTTTCAAGATCCCCAAAGCACTTCACAATAACACACAACAGAAGAACCAAATCCTCACTTTCACACCAACAACCCCACATTATACACTTCCAATCTATCAAAGTAGACTACCACAGATTATTAAAATGATCACATTTGGGTCTTGTGTAGAATAAAAGTTGTGGTTCTAGGCCAGTGAGACATGTAACATGTGGTGTGAGCTGAACTTCTCACTTTGGTGTTGTCAGACTTTTGTCAAATGTAGTTCTACAGGAAGTATCAGTTTACTGTGAAATCCAAAGATGTAACTTTCAGGAAACATTTGGTAGGTTGGCATCTTGCATAATATAGGCTACTGGCGTGCCAGAGCATTTCCTTTCACCCCATACATTTACAACATGCTATTTATTGAAGGTGAAGATGAGGAGCTGGCTATTTGGAAATTATATGGCTAAAGGCTGAGCGAGGGGCAGGCGTTGTTGGATTTTTATTGACAGTGTAAACAACTAGATAGGCCTACTTAATGGAAAGCACTGGACGACTTTCTACGAAATATCTTATTCATCAACCTGGTCCTGGCCTTCCCTGTTTAATCTACCCTTCATGCCAAATGTGTCCTAATCAGTAAAAACATGCTCTCCACACTACAGTGTTCACCCAAAGACAGACGTCAGCGCGTGAACAAAAAGCGGAGCGCCATCACACCTCACTCACGCCTCTCTCTGAAGCACTCAGGGCTCTGAAGTCATGCTTGGATTACGCGCTCAGTCTGTGCTGTTGGACAAGTGCACAGTGACAACACTCTGGAAACTCGCAAAGATCACGTCGTAGGCTAAAAGAAGATGCACCGCACAGACTGTGTCGCCATTTTCCCGAGTTAAAATACAATGCCTTTGCTTTCATGGGCACACATCCCTCTCCATGTTTGCGCATGGATCATTTATTCAGGTCTATTTCAGGAGAAAATAACGTTTTTGTAACACAGCAAATGCATATCACAGATGTATGTATGGGCGCGAAGAAAGGCCAGCGCCTTGACATTTTGTGGTTCTTGTTAGAGCAGATGGCTGCACAGAAAAGACAAATAACCTCCACATTACATGACTGACGTGTCACGCACCCACACAGGTAAGAGCCATCATTTGAAATTGTATTGCTGATGCCGGTTTCAGCCAATCGCAGCGCAGTGTGGGCGGAACCTGGGCCCGTCAATCACTCTGGGACTATAACAGAGAGAATGAGGAGGGAGGGGGAGAATCCAATCCGGTTTGAGCTAGTTTTTCTTCCAATGGAACATTAGCGTCTCGCTGCGCTGTATTACACTGTACTGCTACAGCCTCATACTCAATATAGCACTGATTTTACTCTTTACCCGCAAAAACTCAGCGCGGTTTTTCCTTTTTTACAAAGCACCCACACAAACCAGCCATGCCTAAAAGGAGCAAAGTGAGTACACCTTATTTTTCATGCAGTAATACAGCATTTATGAGACACGGTTGCCGCTTGTAAAAGGAGATTGTAATAGCATAATGTCGTACAGAATTGCTACAATGATGTGTGTAGATTTGTGTACAGTACCTGGCTTGTTGTCGTGTTGAATCGCCATACTGTCTGTTTTGATTTGGCGAAGTGGCTCATCTCAGTCTTATCTTGTGCAGTGATTATCTTTGTTCCCAGACCTTTTAATGCCCTTCTCTCATGCATGTAGATTTGCATTGTTGCACGATTTTTATGCATTCGCGTTTTTACCGCCTTGTGCAAAAAGTATCGCCAACTATGGCGATGGTTTGCTTTTCTGCAGAGAAAGTTGGCGGTATTGATTGTTTCAAATGGTGCCGTCTCTCGCGTTAGTTTCTTGGATTACAAAATGCGGGCATTTCTTTGTTTTATTTCTTCATTTGTCTCTTTTTATGATAATTTGCCGTTGTATATTGGTTTTGAGTTTGCAGCGGAGTATTAACATTGTAATAAACATACATTTATTTTGTGCTAATTCGTATGACTGTACGTCGATTGCACGTCGTTTCTTTTATAATGGCGTTATTGTTTGTACGTTTGTGCGTGAGCTTTGTTCGGTAGACGTGCTCGCCGTGTGCCCTTGTTGCAGCCCAGGCCAGTGGAGGTTATGCAATGGCGAATCTCCGTCAGCACTGCTCCTGTTGCTGGGCTCTCTAGATTCTGCTGCGGATCGACATGGCTCTTTTCAAACCAGTGGCGGGAACAGTCCTCTGCTGCTCTTTTTTTCTCCCTCCTTCTCCTCTCCATTTATTACCACTGGATGACTGTCCGAGGGGGGCGGGGCTCTCTCCGCCTGGAGCAGGAACCAGAACAGGAAGCGTGTTCTGGCCGCGTTAACTGCAGCTGAGGGAGAGCTTTACACAGGCCCTAAATTGCGCCTGCTGAACCATACACTCTAGAAGATATATATATATGGACAGATCATTCAGAGTCAATACAGTCCACACAGACTGATGACTGCAGCATGCTTAATCAGACTATTCCATCCACTGTGCCCCGCGTCAAATCCAGTGGAAACGCCCACTTTGCATTATGTAATTACTGGACCTGTGCAGGCTGTGTGGCTTAAGCCATAAAAACCTCTAACAGTGTTGTCTTTGACTGTTTTTCAGGCAGCTGCAGCAGGAGATTCAGAGGTAAGACGTTTATTATCTTAATTTATGCGTGCATTTACAGTATGCAGTATGCTCAAGCACTGTAGCACCGCTAGGGGTCAGCAAAGGGCAGTGAAAGTAACCATTTTTTCTTCTCTCTTATCTTGCAGCCCAAGAGGAGGTCTCTCAGGTTGAAAGATGTGAGTGTAAACAAACTTAACTGTCAAGAATTATTACAGCTCTGTTTCCTAAAACATGTTGTTTTGTCTTTTTTTTTAAGAGACCTGAACCTCCCAAGCCAGAGCCTAAAGCCAAGCCAAAGGTTAGTGCATTTTTAATATCTTTAATCTAAGTCTTGTAGAGTAGCGTTTGCCATGATTTTATTAAATTAATCTAAAAAAAAACTTAAACTGTTCATGTACAGAAGGCAGCTGGTAAGCCTAAAAAAGCCAAGGATGTAGAGAAGGCCAAGCCCGAAGAGAAAGCACCCGAGGCCCCCGCAGAGAACGGAGAAGCCAAAGCTGAGGATGAGGTGAGGCTCGTCTCAGATATAAGCACAGAAGAATCGTTAATTTATACTAAATTTAATTATGTTTATGTCTCTGTGCAGGCACCAGCCGCAGACGCTGAACAGAAAGATGATGCTGATGAATAACATCACTCGAACCACATCTTTTAACAGTGCTCCCTGTACCTCTTTTCTTGTACAATTCAGGGGAATATTTTTATCAAGTATTTTCTAAATACAGGTTTTTTAGTAGTTGGATTATAGAGAACACTTTTTTTTAATGAAAGAAAAAAGTCAATTTGGAGACGGGAATTTCATCAACTCCCACAGTTTTTCAACATCATAAAACTTGCAGTTCTCGTTACTAGCAGTGGTATTCATTTCAGTTTTAAATGTGAAGGAGGGGAGGGAGGGGGACAGGTTACTGTGTCAATGCAACACATCGGTCGCAGGAGCTGGGCATCAGCGGAGAGAGCTTTCCTGAGAGGACTACATTCCATATGCTTTATAAGGGACTGTACGTAATCTGTTTTGGGGAGGGGATGGACAAAGGGCAACTCATTGTTTTGTTGTTTATAATGAAGAAACAGTGTTTTAGAATGTTTGTAAGCTTTGTTCCTCTATGTTAACTCTTGTACTCATGCAGTTTCTTAATGATTTGGTCAATAAAGCTAAAATACTAGTGCTGGAGCTCTCTGTCAGAACTGTGCATCACGTGTGTGGATTGTGTGTCTGTTCTGTGATAGCATCGCAATAAATCTGTATAGCTGCTGTGAACTACTGCTTACGTCTTCTCTGTATGTAGTGCCAAAGTATAATGAGGCAAGAGAGCTGAATTTAAAGTGATAATATGGAAAGGGAGAGTAATGAGATGTGTCCACTATTTGGGCAAAAACATGACTTTGAAAATAAACTATTTTGGAGATATAAGCAGTTCAGCACCATGGACAGTTTCAACTATAATGACAACCACTGAATTATTCCTGTCTTAGTAAAGGTTAGTAAAATTAATTATATGTAATTAAGATGTAGTTTTCACTGGTAATTTGTGGTAGCGTTTTGAGTGAATGCTATTTTGTCTTTACCTTTGATGTCTTAAAGAGGTAGTTCCTTATAGTATTGCCTATATATTTAGATTCAACTACCAATAATCCAAACAGTCAATGTAATTTTAATAGACATTTATTGTGTTAAGTGCAAGTTAAGTGCACACAGATTACAAATTCCTAAAATACGAAAATCGCTTAAAAACACAATGAAATGCCTAACAATAAACAAACCCAAGTACATTCTGAGTTGGCAAGAAATTATCTGTAACGTTTAACTACTAAATTTTATACGATCTAAAAATATAGTACAGTTTTATGTGAAAATATTTTAATTTACAATTTTACAATGTGTGAGGTACATATGGCAAACATTCTATTTAATAGCATTTAAAGCATTCCAACAATTAAGTTATTAAGTAGTGAGTATAAACAAATGTTTCTAGTTTCTAGTAACATCTTTAAATCAACATGAATGGTCACAACAAATATTATGAGTGTGCTTACATTAAGCCATTTTCTGGTCTATGTTATGTTTTCTCATCATTAACAGACCTGGAACCTTGTTTTGTTTCATTCACACATGTTTAACACACAAAACCTGCATATTTAGTCTGAGTTCTTCTCTCAAATGGAAAACACTTTGTTCCACCTTGTGATGTCATGTGGTAATACAGGAAGTGCTTTAAACTCCACATTATTTCACTATAATTTTTTGGATGATTTCAGACCTGGAATTGCCTATCTCTACTGAACTAAAGGTAAAATGTAGCTGTTATCTTGGAAATTACAGTTATATGACATCACAAGGTGGAACAGAGCATTTTGAGCTTTGGAAATGTAGACAGACTAATAATAAAAGGTTACTCAAACATGTGTGAATGAAACACAACTCCAGGTGTGTTTTTGCTGAGGTAACATTCAAACATGGCTTAAAGCTCTCAAGAGTGAATTCAGTGTCAAATAGGACCTTTAAGTTTACTCAGTCTTCTCAGCAGTTGGACCCATTTTGGTGCGCATGTTGCGGACAAGGAAGAACAAAACAGTAGCAGCACCCATTGCAACCTCAGCCACCCAGAAGGCCGTGTCCCAACTGTGCTGTTTGGCCACTGTGCTGAAGGGAAGTCCCGCCATAAAAGCCCCCACTGTAACAAAGTGAGAGCGTGTTAATGACATTGGAAATGAAACTGTAATGCACTGAGGTTCAAACTCCAAAATTTACCATTGGCCATGAGAGCAACAACTGCGTGAGAGGTTCCACAAAAGTTGGAAGGAGCACTTTCACTGGCGATCACCCCGAACAAGGCTATGGGTCCATAAGAACAAAATCCAAAAGAGGCTCCCAGGAACAATATCCAGATCTGTCAATAAAATGAGAAGATTTTTCAGGGATCATTAACATAACAACATATACACACTTAAAGGTGCACTATGTAACTTTTTGGGTTGGGGTCCGTCACCTGTTTTCTGTTTCTGTTTCTGAAGATGTAATTATTCTGCCAGGAATGTTCCACAGCATGACATTAAACAGATCTACCTCACATTTATTCAGTTACAGGTGGTTTTATAGCCCCAAAATTCCTACAAAAAGAGGCATTCTGACTGTGAGCGGGCATTGCCTGTCCGCAGATCTGACCTGTAACTTGGTCTGGTTTGGTGTCCATAAAGAGAAAAGGTTTAACATTATCTTGTGAAACTTTTCAGACTAAGCAGGAGAAAACCATTTGACGGACTCTCCACCAGAAAAGTCACTTAATGTATTAATAAAAGTAAATGGTGTGACCTCTTTTTCTGAAATGCCACTCAACAATGAGACAGGGTGAAGAACTTGAAACCAAAGTGGCAACTCCTGGAAAAACAAAACAGAACTTTAAACATTTCGCAGACCAAAATACTAGAGATGTAATGAAAGGCCCATTATAAATACCTGTGGCACTTCGGGGGTGATAGTGACTCTGAAGAGGTACATGGACACATACATCCCAGCCATCATAAGAATGAGCAGACCATGGCGAGGGTTGCCATGGGTACTCAGGCCTTGCTAGTAAAATTTAAATAGAGGACGATAATAGTGTATAACCACAAGCAAGACTTAAAGGGACTATATATACATCATATATTTTCTGATCTACAGATGTTATATGTTTCTTCATCTCAAACATATTGTACCTGGAGTTGTGTTTTGTTTCATTCACACGTTTAACACACAAATCCTGCATATTTAGGCTCTGTTCCACCTTGTGATGTCATGTGGCAATACAGAAAGTCCTCTGTGTTTTTATACTCCACACACCTATACACTTCACTAGAATCATTTGGATGGTTTCTGTCAGTCTCTACTAAACAAAAGCTAAAAGATTGCTGTTATCTTGAAAAGTACCACTGCATGACAAGGTGGAACAGAGCATTTTGAACTTTGGAGATGTAGACAGAATAACAATAAAGGCTTACTCAAACATGTGTGAATGAAACAAAACACAACTCTGGGTATGTTTTTGAGGAGGTAACAGCATTATAAAATGGCTTAAAGCTCACAAGAGTCAATTTTGCTTCATATAGGACCTTTAAATTCTCAAAAAGCAACACCTTACCCGTGCAACAGCTCTGTCTGAAATGAATCCTGATATGAGGCTGCCGAGAAAACCTCCAACCTCTAGTGCACTCATGTAGCTACTGCCTATGGAAACATGGATTCATTTATTCAGCACAACATTGTTTGCCAATTCTGATCTAAGTGTTAAATCAGTTCTTACCCATCAGAGCAGTCTGGCCTTTTTCCTGCATGAGGAATAGTTGGCCCCAGTCAGTAGCAGCAGTTTTGACCCCAAACACAACCAAGTACCCAAGGGACAGCACCCACAGGAAAGGAGAGAGGAGGAATTCCTGAAGAGTGCTCTCACAGTTTCCTGGAAGAAAAGAAAAGATTTGTTATTTAATTATATGTTAATGTATTTTCATATGTTTCTGTCGTGTTTTAGTGTTTTGATATGTTATGTTAGTAATTAAGACTCTGTAAAAAATTACATCTCTGTCTACTGATGAATACTGACATAAAAGTAAATACCTGCATTAAAATGTATTACTTTTTCATGTTTTTTATTTATTTATTTATTTGTGCTAATTCTCAACTCCTGTCCCTACTTGGGCTTTTCAGTATGTATGTATGTCATGACACGGTCCAGTCAGAGTATTCTGAATACTTAGAATACCTTCATGTTGAGGTGCTTTCTAATTTTATGTACAAAATGTTTGTTATGTAGTATTTTATCACTAAGAAGGTAAATTATACATACACTAACCACATCAACATTTTTCTCACTCATGGTGTACAGGTTCTAGGCTTAACTTGTGTGATTAAATACCGCAATGATTTTAGGGAATAGTTACTAAAGATAAGTATTCTCAGTTCTCATGTTTTTTCAGTTCATGTATTTAGTTACTTCCCAATACTGTGTCTTGAAATGTCAGTAGACTGCAATTTATGTACTAAACTGTGCAAATAGCTCAAAGTTTTTGATCAGTAAAAGTGTGCACTGTGTATAGCATCCTCTCTCTGTACCTTAGACTGTATAAAGAAGTGGACTGAGGGAGTGAAATCACCCATAGCGTTCGGCTCCATATTAGGAATAGGAATTTATGTATGGGGAAAATAACGGGATAAAAATACCATGTGGACTGGTTTAATACAAACATTTTAAGACCAAAATGACGAGGCTCACTGCAGCAGTTACAGAGAGAGGTGCAGTATTTTTCAGTGTAAAATCAATTGGAGCTAGAGTCGATGGAGCCGGAAGCGCCCCCAGGTTAAATATGTCCATTTATATATACAGTCTATGTTCTATACTTAAACTAGCCATGACCTCACCTCCCTTCTTCTTGGCTGCTGCCTCGATGCTAGTCAGACCCACGTCTTTAGGCTCATTCTTCACAAAGGCCATACAGAGGAAAGAGAAGGCTGCACAGAAAATCCCAGACATGGAGAGGATGGTTCTCCAATCGTAGTACTGCAGCAGCACCGTGACCAACAGGGGGCCCAGACTGCCCGCCAGGTTCATACTGCAGGACAGGACGGACCACCATGTACCAAACTGGGAGGGCTCGTACCACTGCACAGAGAGTATGGGAGAAAAGAGTCATGAATCTGATTAAGCAAAAGATGTTAATTTTGTCTTCTTATATACTTTAACTTCTTGGGTTCTTCTTAAAGACAATTTTTTCTTATTTTTTCTCAATTGTCTTTAAAAAGAACCCAAGAAGTTAAAGTCATGAATCTGAGTATGAGTTGTGTTCACTCAGTTTGAGCTGTGTTCATTCCAGATTGCAGGAAGGTGCCTAAGCTTTCCGAATGATAAAACATTGGGATCACTGCCATAACAATTTAAAACAAAATATTATATCTTTTGAATGGGGAAAAACTCCTTGAAATGTTGCATAAAACAGGAAGTTGAGATTAATATGAAATTAGTTAATATATGAAATTAACTCTTAAAGGTGCACTGTGTAATTTTTCTGGAGAGGGTCCGCAACATGAAAACTAATCTGTCTTGCATTTATTCAGCTATAGGTGTTATTTATTGGTCAAAAATATCTTAAAAAAATATTAATTTGCACTGTGAGTGGGGTTGCCTCTCCATAAATCTAACCTGTAATTTGGCTTGCAAGTCCCCATGGAAATTCTTAAGTTTATGGCCATACTGTGGAACATTCTAGGCAGATCTCCATGGAGACAAGCAGGTGACGGACCCTCCACTGGATAAGTTTCAAAGTGCACCTTGAAGGAGATTTACTAATAATCAAACATATGTTCCATAAATGTTGAACTTTCTTATTTATCTGATATCGATCATGTCTTTGGTATTGAATAATGGCACCACTTTCTGAAACTATATTCAAATTATAATCCCAATGGTGGTTACGTACACGCTGAGTTTTTGTTTCATGTTGTTACAAAAATATTAGCCACAAACCAGGTAAACAAATCTGCAATCTGACAGACAGCAACAGCAAATTCTACTGTGACAAACCTGTCCCCCTCCATCTCAATATGACACCAAAACTAACTAAAAGAACACATGAATGCAACCAAAAAGTGTAACAAACAACACAGGACCTTTGTTACTTAATCTACTTTACTAACAGTGATTCTAACAAATCCCACCACTGCTAAACCCCCAAATGATATAATGGAGTTAATGTCAGCCAAACATTCTTCAAAGGACACTTGACTGAGCAACCTGTGACCTCGTGAAAACTAAAATAACTAGAGTGAAAACAAAGACCTACAAGAAGTGACAATGCAGACTGTGTAAACTCAGCTATGGGGTAGGCTACATTATTTCTTATCTTTATTTAAATTTTTCTTTCAAGATTATTCTAGAAGGCAAACCCTTTCGAGTTCTCCTGAGAAACCACTATAAATAGCGTGTAACTGGACTCCCTTTAGTGCTCTGCAAATGCCAAAGTCTTTTTATTCTTTGGCTAAGTGTGAACTTTTCTTGTGATTACATTGTCTGCATACAAAAGAAATGCAGTATCATCTTATTTGTTTATATCATTACTCTATTGTAACAGTGAGCTGCAGTAAGTGACAGTGTATTTAACATTACTGTGTCATTACCTTGCGTAGCACTTTTCCACATGGGGGCCACCCACAGCCTTGGCCCAGACCATTGATGAACCAGAGGAGAGAGAACATGGTGACAGTGGAGGACCAGGAGAACATGATGTTGATGCCTCCCACCAGAAACAGGCCGATGGAGAAGAGCCAGCGTGCACTGATCTGATCTGACAGGACTCCACTGATGAACTTACTGATGGCATAGGCCATGGTTTGGCTGCTGGCTATCAAACCTGACAACAAACAAGAATGGCACAGTTTAAATGCATTTTAAATACTATATTTATTAGTAATACTTATTAGTCACTCAACAAGTTTATAGGATTTTTGTTTCGGGGACTAATACGTTTGCATCATGCAGGGAAAACCCCCAAATAGGAACAGCTGTTGTTTTGATACCAACTACCTTTATCCACACACACACCGCTCACTTCTTACCCAAGTCATCCTTGTCCAGCTTGATCTCTTCCATCACAGATGGCATAACAAATGAGAAAGTCTTCCTATTGAAGAAGTACAGGGAGTAGCCTGTGAACATACTGAAGAAAATGACCACTCGGTAGTAGCCATAGCCATTGGATCCCATGATTTCAAAAATATAAAAGTTCAAATCGTATTTAGAAAAAGAAAGTGCTCTTAATTGTGAATCTTGTCGTCCTGGTTAAGTTCATTCATTGGTCTGAATAAAGGGACAGACAGAGCAGCTCTGTCTGTGGCTGCGGTGGGCGCCTGGACACAGGAGGGAAGTCGGACATGAGCCTAGAAATAGAAACAGACAAAGGTCAGAACAAAACATTATGTGGAGTATGGGTAGATTTTTAAATAGATTTGAGCAAACCTAAAACATAGCCTACAAATAATCAAGTGGAGTCTATCCTTCCATTCATTGCAGGACGCCTCTGAGCTGTCCACTGTGTCTGGTCACTTGTCACTTCTTGTGACAGTGGCTGTGCATTCTGGAGTGGTCAGCAGCATTGGAAATATCACATGTCTCGTTCCATAATCAGTCAGAGTTGGGGTCATCTCTGGATGTATTGAACACGCCCCAAACTCACAAACGGAGGGTGCGCAATGTTGGACACACACTAAAAGGCGGTATGTAACCAGTCAGGACTTCTCTTTTCTACAGTCGAATAAATGAATGGTGAGCAGCGTTGGCTAAAGGTGACCATGAGACCAGGGCCGCCGTAGCGCGTAAAAAGACCGATGTAAACGTAACCGTGCAGGGTACCGTTGTTTGAAGCTCTACGTTAGCTCTGGTCTCGCGGTGGAAACTGTGGCTACCCCGTCTGAGAGAAATGAGAGAGTTTACCTCTCACACGAGCTCCCCTCGCTGTGTCCAGGCCATCGACGCAAACGACGATGAGCGAAGCTGCGTCTCCCGTGCGCGCCCCCGCGCCCTGAGCACTGCCCACATGATTACGGCTGCGCTACAGCTTTAGTTTATAAACCAACTGCTGGTGGACAGTAGATAATATGGGAGACTGCGATTGTGTAGCGTGAAATCTTGGTTTGCGCGATTTAAAAAAAAAAAAAAAAAAAAAAAGCCTTTTTGTGGAATGTGCTTTAAAATGACCATCAATACCCCCGAGAACACGAGAACATGGGGGCCCCGGTTTGACAGAGGTCACTGACCTGAACCTGGAATAGGTTTGGTTCAAGTTCTTGGTCACAGATGTCACGACACGACGTCTCCAAAAACATGTGTGCCCTGTAGTGTAGTCTACTGTACCCGGCCATATGACCGCATGACCATGTGACCAAATCATATGGTCATTTCCATAATGTTAACCTCAAAGACTATATAAGTTTAGACTGCGTTAGCCTAATAATAATAATAACGAGATTTATAGACTTATTTTAAATGATTGAGTTGTAGCATTGTAGACAAGAATCGGATACATTAGGCTATTTTATGAATGTCCTACATTCTACCCACAAGAGGGCGCAAAAGCACTATCTTTTCAAATCGAGCTTTGAAAAATACAGTTTACAAAGGTTTATTACAGACCTATAATTGCAAACACAAAAGCACTTGTGGTCTTTAGCCTACAAGAATGTGCAAAATAAATCATTTATAACAACAATTAGAGAAGTGACGCCTGGAACTACAGAGGCCCTGAGGAATTAAAATATAGATTACACTTGCAAAGGTCAGAACAGGGAAACCCCTAAAGGCTAAATAGGCATGCGAGTTAAAACAAATCTAAATCTTTTGCAAAGTGTTCCCCAGTACAATTATATTTAGATCTCTTTGCTACATGTATAAATTACAGTCAGCATAACACTGGCTCCTTCAGGTGGTGATTGGACAGCTCTTCAGTTTGTGGGGTTGCCTAATTTAGTTAATTTTATCCACTTTTTGTCCTGCTTTGGACATTTTCGTGTTTAGTACTACAGTGGAAATGATGTAGTCAATTTATAGACCTGGTTTCGCTTTAGATTAGACCTTCAACAATCTTGTTATATTTTATTGACTTGATACTCTGAAATCCAAATATTTTTTTGGTGGTGCTTAGTTTCATTCCAGCCATTAGTCCATACTTTCAGACTTTCAGTCAGACTTTTGCAAATAATAATTCAAAAATCCCACATACCAGGGATGTTTTAATAGAAATAATATGATTTTATGCGTCATGGAAACTCAGAGCTGTGAGTTAAAAATGGCCAAAGGGACGATCAGTGGTACATCTAATCTCACAAAGTAACGTCTAATTAAAATAGAGGATTAACAGCAGTGAGAGCCATAAACATCAGGGCAGTAATGGAGACAGCCAATTACTTTATAACTGAACAATCACATCTCTGCAGACTCAAAAGCCACAGTGCCAAGCTGTAAACAAGGCTCTTCATCATGGTGGAGCACACTGGTATTTTACTTTACTTACGCTGGAGCTGGTTGCCTTTGTCTAAGTATAATATATAGGCCTATATTTTTTGCATATACACAAGAAAGCAGTATTGATTATGCAAATTATATGGCATGTATTTGGTTTCAGGCGGTAAGGGTTAGAAGCAATAGAAGCATCTTGGAATATTCTATTGAAGAGTCATCAATACCTACTCACAACACTGGATTATTATGTATTTTGCCAATTTACACAAATGTTTATTGGCAATGATGGGGAGGATACTTTTAGTTACAGAATACTGAATACCTGCATTAAAATGTATTTTGTAACAAATTCTGATACATGGTACAATCAGAGTACTGTATACTGAATGCTTCGAATATTTTACAGTTTTATTATGGAGAGAGAGAGGTAATATTGATACTGATCTCTCTTTCTCTATATAATGCTACTGTAAAAGTATTTAAAGTATTCAGAATACAGAATACAGTACTCTGATTAGATCATGCATCAGAATATACCATGTATCTGATATAATTAGTATTTTTGTCGCATTGTTTGTTATGTATTCATTTATGTCGAAATGAAAAGAGATGAAAAATCACACATGCACACGCTGCAAGAGTTGTGTTTTTTTATGATTCTCACTAAAATAGTGCAGTTCAAAGCCAAACAATAAAGGACTGCTATGTATTCATTTTAACTTAGGAATGTAACTGTACCAGAATACAGGTACTGAAAGTTAGTATTCAGAATATGTATTTTTGGTGCAGGTGTTCAGTTACTTCCCAACACTACATAGGTCACGTAGGAGTGTACAGCAGATCTATAGCAGCAAGTAACTCCATGTGTTCTTCTACATCTGTTACACAATGCTTTTAAGACCAATATATATTTATAGTGCAGTATCCAGACAGACAGCTGCTCTCATCTCACATCAAGAAGGAACATTATTTTAAAGCAACACTGTGTAACTTTCTGGAGGTAATTCAACCAAAGTAGAAAGTTAAAATTCGGAAAGTTCACCATGGAGAAAGATGAGTTTTATGACATACTGTGGAATATTGTGGAACAAAAGAACAACAAGAACAAGAACAGGAACAACTCAAATCGGCCATCTCTGTCCACTGTAGAGAGAAAGAGAGAATCATATTGGGATTGGGACGGAGCAGGCATCATTGGAGTGGAGGATAACGAACACCGTCTTTGATTGAAGAGGTGGTCGAAGTGCGGAAACGTGCTCGCAGGACTATGGGCCGGGACAAGGGGGCTTTTTTACTCTCGCGTGTCTGGGGTGCTATACTGGGGGAGTCGGACTGCGGATGGTGCTGTCATCCTATCTCCATCGGTGGGGGGACGGCGCCAAAACCTGTTTAGATCCACTGACTGGACACAATCACAGCAACATCACGTGACCACTTTGAGGAAGAGCACTAGTGAGCAGTCGAAACTGTCAAGTATGAAAACAAACTCTTAATCTGAAAAAAGAACTTAATAACATAAATAATTGAAAGACCAAATGAACCTCATTGGACAAAAGAACAACATTTCAATGAAGATAAGCAGGTGGATGCCGTTCAGGTCAAGGAGAGTCAGGTTTGTGGAGAAGCAAGCCTGCTCACAGTAAGGAAGCATGCTTTTCTAAGGTTGTCAGTGCCGAAAAAAATAAAAAAGTTTGTAAATAAATTCATAATTTTACTTTATGTTTTGCTTAAAAAGCTCCACAATAGGCAATAACGTATTCCACCATTGTGCTACAAATGAAAACACTACAGAAGCCATGGCAACAAGGTCTGAGTAAATGCTCTCTTTCTGGGGTTGCATGGAAGTGTCAGCTTGATTTTCAGGCTTCCTTTCACCACTTTATAGTGAGGAACCATTTAAAAACCATGTTGTTGTGTCACAAATCACCTGCTCACTGCCTGAAATCAAACTGAGCGTCGTAACTCCTGTAGATTCAAGCCATTTCCAATGCCAAGAAATTCTACAGTATTCTACAAAAAAAATAAATTTATTAATGAAATCTCATTATAACAATTGATGTTTGTATGATTTTTCTGTAATATAATAATGTGGGCAGATGTTACAATCAAGGCCCAAACTGTACAATTAGTGTTTTTGTTTTTTTTATTGGGTTGGGTTATACAGCTGCGTTCATTTTGTAAGTTTGTAAGTTGAAGTGGAGACTCTGATATGATTGGCTTACAATATATATGTTGTAAAAAAATAATATTTCCTGGGCACACTTTTAAAGATATTGGCTGGCTGTGGGAATCTATAATGAGCTATCTTCTATATTAAAGCTCAGTGAATTTTAATTATATCTCATGATGTAATTGTGGCATTATATATTTCAATGTTGAATTAGAATCAGAATGATGAAAAAGCAGGACTTAATGTTTTAAAACTTGTAACTGAATTGATTCAAAATGGATATATACAATGCACTTTGTAATATTTCAGTCAAAGAAATAAAATCCCCTCTTGGAGGCAAATCATTATCCAGAAATGTTACACACTGCACTTTTAAAACTGAATACATTAAACGCCCCATATTTTGCATTTTTCTGGTCTATGTTTTAATGTTGTTTCCTCCAGACTAATAATGCAGAATTACTCAAATGTGTAAATGAAACAAAATACAACTCCAGGTATGTTTGTGATGAGGGAACAACATTATAACACAACTTAAAACTCACAAGAGTCAATTTTGCGTGATGTTTAATTTAAAAAGTATTGGAAGTGAGTGTCATTCAACATCCAGATATCCAAATATTTTCCAGGTTTTCCAGTGATGTTTTACGAGCACATCAAAATCCTAAGCATTCTTTTTGAAGTACAAAATGTAAAGCAATCACACAGATCATGCCCCCTGTAGTGAGCGAGTGTGTCACCTCATATGACTTTGACAATTTGCGGAGAGGAGGAGGAGGACAGGACCTGTGAGTGGAGGGAGTGGGGGAGTCCTCCATCACAAACTTAATTACAGTTATTATTTCCCTGTAGTCTCCTCTGCTCTGGAGTTAGGCCAGGTCTTATTAACACCATGTTGTGCTTATACTGTGGGAGGATGTGGGCATGTGTGTGAGTAGATGGAGTAATGGAGGAGCAGTGACTCTACACAGAGCTCCCTATAACTGACTAAACCAACATAGCTAATATAAGCAATACTAGTATAGAGAGTGCCTATAGCCCCCAAACAGTCCATGTCCACAATCTTTGGTGCTAGTTGAGCATAAAAAAGGTCCTGAAACCAAATTTGATCAATGGAAATCATGAAGTACTTCCAGGTGTTTTAAATATTTTTTTTAGCATATTTGAATTTCTTCATTTACATGTTTTATTATTTTTTTTGGAGAATAAGGCACACCAAATCTAACCTAACATAATTCAACCCCCAACCAACTCTCCATCCATTCCTTTCCCCACTCAAATCCTGCACAAATCAGCAATACAAATGAATGCAAATAATTATAATAGAACATACATCAATTAATATACAAACTCCTTTTTTTAGGCCAATATTAACATCTGTCACAGGACTAAAGATGAAAAATAGCAGTCTTGGATTATTCTGGTGCATTTACAGAAGTTTACATTACACACACACTCTGAAATAGATAACATAAATTAAAATAAAACAAATACTGCTGTGTATTTGAATTGTC